CTCAAATTCCTCGTCAGTGATATCCGGACACAACTCTCAGCCAACCCACGAACGGCAGATTTGGATAAGGACTGATGAACGTCATCCCAAAAATACTCTTCCATATCGCGCCTACTTGTGGGTTCTCAGGATAATCGTCGCGCCCTTCTGGCATCAACGTTCCAAACTGTTCTAGCAACCATTCAAGGCGAATTATGCTTATATTGTATCTACTGTGCATATTGAAGTGACCTGTGATAGTCCTCGGCTGCTCTCACCTGTCCGATAGCTCTTTCATAGAAGGTTTGCGCTTTCCTCCCGGAGCGGTGCTCTGCCGTCCACCACAGCTTTCCAGGACAGAATCTATAGAGGAGACTTGGGCATTCGAATATCGTATTTACAAGAAGCGACGAAGTACACACCTCTGTTGGCCCCCTCAGTTTCCTCATCTTTTCCAGCAAGTGCAACTCGCAGCACATGATCGTCCGCTCCTGGGCTAGGATGCAGATCTCTGGTTAAACTGAGCATCCACGAGACAAAGACGCTAGAGATGTTGTTGATAGTCGAATGTATTCAAATCATCGATGTCTGCTTCGTTCGTGCACTCAACATGCAAACCTAGTCTGTTTTGCTATACCGCAGAGTGGCTGAAGCAAGGTGCCGCAACACCGTGAAATGTTTCACTTGAAATATTCCACCATGAAATATTTCAGCCGCCCTGCTATACCGCATACCACATCGAGTGTCGCCACTTACGCCACTCTCCGTTTAAGAGCAACGAATTCCTTGCGATCCATCATCTTCTCAAGGCTCTCCGCGTCTACCACTCCGTCCTCACATTGGCAAGCCAGGAGGCGTTGTAGTAGCGCCCATTGCTGCACACAAACTGCCGTCCTGAAGTGCCAAACTCAGTTGTTTCGATCGGACGAACTAGCAGGAATCGCGACTAAAGCATACGGGAGAGAGGGCCAGACGTGTCTCTTCATTTAAAGGGTGGGCATTCCTCACCATTTCGCGTCACCAACGCCTGGGACAGCAGCCAGCTCAGCAAGGCAGCAATTTGGGTCTTTTTGTAACCCAGCTTTCTCCATGAGAGCACAGATGAGCTCTACATGGCTACCTCTTGACGGCACCTAGCGTGAACGGAGTTAAGTCGAAAATTGCGTAAAAGTTTCGTCACTTCATCGTCGGCTTCCTCGTCTTCTGCGAGTTCATCGCCTGTGAGGATGAAGTCTTCATCGAGTATTTTCCGAATTTCCTCATTTTCTGACAATTCGTCGCAGAGTTTATTAAATCTGATAAGAAGAGCATCGCCTCTCAGCGAAAGCCCCTACCCCAACTGCATACAATTAATGTACACTATCGATGTCGTATAGTGTATTACACTTCACTACAGTAAAAATGACTATAGTTACTATAGGACCACATCGGTTGTGACGAGAAGGGCAGTTGAGAACTGCTCTGACGAGAACAGCCCCGAGTTGACTCGATGAACACACACGAGCTCATTTTCTTGTCAAATGAGGATCCCTCGGATGAGGTTTCACCCTATTTTGAACTTTTGCATTTCGAGAGTGCAACCCGAGGGGAATTCTAGACTCTTGGAGACGAATTGGAATACCTCAGTAACACGCTTGGTCTAATGACTGAGCCTCACAAAGGTGGTTAGGTAGCACAGATAGGTATGCAGGACTCACTCCGCTTCTTCACGATCCTCATCAGCACGTACGGCAGCAACAATTGCTATCTCTTCCTTTTCGACTTTCTTTGCTTTCTGTTCCTGA